GAGAACTTTTTCCACCCTTTTACTTTGAATGTACTTTTGTCTGTGCAGCTTAGATTTGTCTCTTGTGGACAGAAGGTTGGGTTTTGTTTTTTGATCCACTCTGCTACTTCGTGCCTCTTTATTGGTGAATTCAGACCATTTACATTTCGGGTAATTATTGATGTATGAGGATTTCCTATAACAATTTTATATTTTGTTTTCTGGTAGCTCTGTGCCTCCATTGGTTCTTTTCCTTTGTACTTCTGTTTGTCGTTTTTGTTTGGTGGTGTTTCATACTTCTTTCTTCTGTGTCCTCTTTTTTTAAGTGATATGTCCTGGTTTGGGGATTTTTGAGTGTGGTTACCATTAGGTTTATAAAAAATAAAGTTGCATGTATACAATAGTTTTTTTTTTCTTTTGAGTGCATCTGTTGTTCATCCTCCTTTGCCAGTTCAGACCTTTACCGCTTCCCCCTTTATGTTTTTGTTGTCTCAAATTATCCCTGTTTGTGCTGTAAGTTTTTTGGTGATCTTACTCGTAGTGTTGTGACCTTATGTTTTTTGTTCCAGGTAGAATTACTCCCTTCAGTATTTGCTGCAGTGGAGGTTTTTTGGTGACAAACTCTCTCAGCTTTGGTATATCTGGGAAGGTCTTTATTTCTCCTTTATATTTAAAGGATAATTTTCTCTTTCAGACGTTTGAATATTTGGTTCTACTCTATTCTGGCTTACAGAGTTTCTGCTGAGAAGTTAGTTGAAATTTTGATGGGTTTTCCTTTTAGGTCACTTCTTTCTTTTCCCTGGCTGCTTTGAGAATGTTTTCTTTATCATTAGTTTTTGACAGTTTTAATACAGTGTGCCTTGGAGAGGGCCTCTTTGGATTCAGGTAACCAGGTGTTCCTTTTTCTTCTTGGATTCGAGGATCTAGCTCTTTCCATAGATTTGGGAAGTTCTCATCCACTATTTGTATGAATACACTCTCTCTTACCTTTTCCCTCTCTTCTTCTTCCTGAATGCCTATTATTCTAATATTGCTTTTTCTGATGGAGTCAGACAGTTCTCATAAAGCACTTTAAATTTTCTTTATGTTCAAGTCTCTCACTTCTTTCCTGTGTGGCATTTCTAGATCTCCTATCTTCATTACCAGTAATTCTTTCCTCCATCTGGCTGTTTTCTATGCTCAGTAGCTCATTCCTAATCTTCTTAATTGCATGCTTCATTTCCAGGATTTCTTATTGGTTCTTTTTTAAAGTTTCAGTCTCTTTGGTACAGTACTCTTTTGTTCATTGATTTATTTTCTGAGTGCACTGAATTGCCTGTCTGTATTTTCTCACATCTTGTTGAGTATTTTCAAAACTGCAATCTTGAAATCTCTGTCATTTATATCACATATTTCCATGTGTTCCAGCTTGCTTTCTGGGGATTTTTCGTTTTCTTTCTGATCATCCTTGTTACCATGGTTATTCGTGGTATTTGCTACTCTCCCTTGTCTGGGCATAAATACCCCTTCTTTATCAGCATCTCTGAAGAGATCTTTCTACTATTTTCCAGTAGATGGCACTGAATTGCAAGAGTTTTTACCTCTGTGATCCCAGAGTTGACCTCCACGAGCTTCTATAAGACAGTACAGCCATGCTCATTGGGGGTTCGGCTTGTTTTGCCCTCAAGTAATGATGACCTCAGGTCCTGGACCTCCATGGGATCCAGCCCCAAGCACCAGAACAGATGATCAGTCACAGAAGGAAACAGTAGTTCCCCTGCAATAGCTCTTGGTTTACAGATAAAATGTTTCTTGACCCAACACGGGGGAACGGGAGGCGAGGTTTGAGCATCCAAGTGGCGGCAGGGCTGTGTGGTTTTGTTTCTTTGTCAGAAACATCCCTGCCCTGCAGTAAAGAGCTGCTGTGCGGCAGAGCCCCGCACTCTGTCAGGCATCTGGTGGCTCTGTCAGTGTTCTCTGTGCTTGTCCTGCTGTACTGCCCCTCACAGACCTTTGTTCCCTCCCGCCAGAGGAAGCACCTGCTACCTCTTGCTTCCTCCCCTCTCCTGGCCGTGCAGATCTGCTAGCTCCCAGCTGCATGGCTGCATCTGTGGGCCGTCTGAGCTTTTCTCTCTTCTCATCTCCCAGTTTATTCCTGGTTGCCGATCTTTAGATGTTTCAATGCGAGGGTCTCTCAGGCATGCCTCTGTTGAGTAGGGAATTCTTTGTTGAATTATAGTTGGTTAATTTGTTGAAATTCCAGGGAGAGGCGCCAAGGGTATCTCTCACACCACCATTGCTCTCACGTCACTCCCAGATGTCCTCAATTTCATTTTTATGTTAAAATTAAATTGTGAAAACAGTTGTATAATGAGCAGTCATTCAAGATAATCAGAAACAAGTAACAATAAATAATCTGCAAGGAAAATGCAGAGGAGGAAGAAAAAAAATTCAGTAGCCCCTCATTTCATCTGTTATGGATTTTATTTATACTCTAATAAAAATTATACCCACAGAAATTAATATGACTTGTACAAGTTCAATTTAGTTGAAATTAAAACCCATATTTCCTGACTCTACATTTAATATTGTTTATATTATGCTACACTGACTTCCTCCCTTTTGGAAAAAAGTATACAGTAAAACCTTGCTATAATGGACTAATTCAGGCAAGCAGGTGTGCATTAAAGTGCAAAGTCCATCATATAATAAGATAGGTTTTCCAAATGCATATGTTAAAAAATTTACAAATTAGTTTACCTGTTTTTACTTATGTAGACACATTTGCGTAATTAAAATTATGTATAAAAAGTTTAATTTCACAGAAAAGTTGTCTATATTTATTAGTGTAATTTTAAATTTATACTGAATAGGTCTAGTAAATGCATGCATTCACCAGTCACCGAGAGTAAACAAATGCACACGGCAGGGGTGTGGCTTAGCGTGGTGGGATCATTTGCTGGCGTGCATTAAAACTGCTACATAAAGTCATGCCATCTGACAACAGAACCAATTACCTCCGGTAATACAGTGTGATCACCTGTTAATTGTTTGCCGAACATTGCTTATGAGCTGTCTCTTGGATTTAAATATGTAGACTGTAGTTGTAGATATGTAATATTTATTTATGTCAGCAAAATTACTACAGTGTTTTTTCCAACATATGGTCAATTTACTAAAATTTGTTAAAAGTAACAGTGAGTTAATAACAAAAAAATAACCTGTTAATTATAAGCAAATTATAATTATAAGCAAATCATGGTTAAAATCATTTTAAAATTAACAGGGTGTTAATTTTCACATATGACATATTTAAAATTTTGTCTGTTAAATCCAAAGTCCATTAAATCAAGGTCTGTAAAATCGAGAGTTTATTATAATTTTATCATAGAAGTTAATTAAATCTGAACCTAGTACAACAGAACTGTGGAGAAGATCTTCATCAAGAAACTTGTAGAAAATGTACAAAATGATTATTTTGTAACTACCAAATGAAAGTTTATTCCCAGATGAATCTGTAAGTGCAGTGTACGATTACTGAAAGAATCTTTACCAGCACCACATCTCTACCAGTTAGCTTTACTGTGTAACAAAGCACCCCAAAATGTAGTTGCTTAAAACAAGTCATTTATTATAAGTATTTTACAGCTGCTAATCATTAGACTCATACATTAGCAAATATTTTTATTTGTACTACTGCTTTCCATAAGATCTCTGAGGTCTATTGTAATTAAATCCATGTACTTCTATTTAAACTTTTTCACTTTTTAAATTTTATTTTTCAATTACAGTTAACATTCAGTTTTATTTTGTATTAGTTTCAGTTGTACAGCATAGTGTACAGGTTAGACAGTCATATATTTTACAAAATGATCTACCTGGCACCGTAGTTATTTCAATATTATTGACTATATTCCCTATACTGTACTTTTACATCCCCATGACTATTTTGTTACTACCAATCTGTACTTCTTAATTCCTTCACCATGTATTTCTTAAAGTGATGCAATAATTCTTCTTAATTTTAAAGACTGCCTTTAGAAAGGAGAAGGGCCCAGCCGGTGTGGCTCAGCAGTTGAGCATCAACCCGTGATCCAGGAGATCGAGTTTCAATTCTCGATCAGGGCACATGCCCTGGTTGTGGGCTCAGTCCCCAGTGCAGGATATGCAGGAGGCAGCCAATCAATGACTTTCTCATCATTAATGTTTCTGTTTCTCTCCCTTCCTCTCTCTGAAATCAATAAAGACATATTTTTTTAAAAAAAGAAGGGAATTATTTTCTCTGACCTTTATTTCACTTAAATAATAGTTTTATCATAATGTAATCTATATTTATACACCTTTTCCCCTATTTAAATAAAATGTTTATTAAATGTTAAAAGGAATAATAGTTTCCCAATTACAAATCTCCTTCTTTGTCACCTTTATGTCACTGTAATGCCCTAACTGTGAAAAACTTAAACTGAGGCATTTTTAAGAAATTGTTATTATTAGTAGTTTACATTGGGTTTTAACTTTGTCATTTTTAAACTAGCTGGGCACAGTGTCACATTTGACCGTTCATGCTACTGTTATTACCAGGTTTGCTTTTTGTTTGTGAAGGAAATTTTAAAGTGAGGTTTTCAGATATCCTCTTCTGGTACTGATTACTGTTAAGAAGGTGTGTTGCCCGGCCGGGCGTGGCTCAGCAGTTGAGCATCGACCTAGGATCCAGGTGATCGGGGTTCAATTCCCGGTTAGGGCACATGCCCGGGTTGCGGGCTCGATCCCCAGTCAGGGGCGTGCAGGAGGCGGCCGATCAATGACTCTCTCATCATTGGTGTTTCTCTCTCTCTCTCTCTCACTCTCCTTTCCTCTCTATGAGATAAATAAAGATATATTTTAAAAAAAAATTTAAAAAAAAAAAAGTGTGTTAATCTGTGCTACTTTGTGTTAGATTTCTAAAATGAGTGCATTTAGAATTCAGAGTCGATATATCCTTTCCTTTGTGTGTTGCTTTTTGCTCCTGTTAATGGTGAATCTTACTTCCCTTTTGTTTGCAGTGTCCCAGTTTGAAACTGAATTCTACATCAGTGGTCTTGCACCTCTCTGTGATCAGCTTGTTGTGCTTTCCTACGTAAAGGAGGTTTCAGAAAAAACGGTAATTTATTTCACCTCAAATACAAAGGGAAGTATGGGTTCATTTTCAGCATTATACCCAGATCAGGTTGCCCATCAAAGGGCTTTGCTATAGTCTGAGCAGAACTTCCTGACCTATGAAATAGGGTCAGCAGAGATTATTACCCTGTAGACCTAACATATTTACCTTTCAAAAGCTCCACTCATTGCCTGCCTTTGTTCCTTTTGCTGAGTAAAGGGGAGTCATTTTTTCCCATTTCTCTTGGTATTTTAGTAGGAAGGAATGAAGGATTCCTCTTTCTGAAAGGCAAAGAAACTAAGCTGACACTGCATTACCAGAAATGACAGCAATGAAGTTGATCTGCTGCAACAGCAGGGCCCCTGTGGTCAGAGGGAATTACAGAAAGGGCAGTTCATTATTTCCTGTGGTCCAGACATATTTTTTTACTTCCCAGTGGCCTAGTGATTCTGAGTAGCTTGATTCTGGCTTTGAAACAGATTGTTGCTAAGTCTCAGTAAGCAGTGCAAGTGATGGTATGAAAAGTACGGCTAAATAAGAAACAGCAGAGGATCTAAATTTTGTTATACATGGCTTTGGAATGAAGCCTGTATGTATGGTCCTGTGTAGGAGCATGCACTCTCAGCCTCTCTTTGAAACCTCAGTTGGCAGCACTCACAGTTTGTCTTTATTGTCAGAGTCCAGGAAGGGGATAGGGGGTGGCTTTGAGGCATAATAAAGGAGAGCTTATTGTAAAGGATTTTTTGATCCTGTGTATAAGAGATAGAGCAATTGATTGTCCCTTTACAGAAGTAGGCTCTCCTTTTCTGTATCCTCTCCTATTTCCCCCCCTTTTCAAATGACAAGGAATAAAATGCGGAGAAAAACCCTGAGAGAGCCCCAGTTTTGAAGTGGTAGCTGCTCTCTCAAGCATTTCTCTGAGCTAACACTTGCATCAGGAAGCCATTGCTATAGTAACCTGAAGCTCTGGGTGCCTATGTTGCTAGGCAATGGGATGCTATAGACATAAGTGAACACTCAAACCTGCTAAAAATCAATAGAGCTGGCTTCTAGCTCTGTTGCAGGACATCAGTTTATTATTATTATTATTTTTGAAACTAGAGAAAAGCAGTGGCTCCTGAGGGAGTAAATATGGTACTTTTTGATGAGGAATGTGGGGAGGATCGAGAATGTGATTTAAAGACATAAGGAAAGAAGCAGTAAAATGAAAAAAGGAAAGCCTAATAAACACTTGACCAAAAAAAATAAAGAAAGAGTGGAGACCTTTGTTAATAAAAGAGAGTATTGGAAAGGAGTAAAAACCAAGAAAGGCCAACCTCATCGAGCAAATTAGAAAATGGAGTTTTTTCAGAGAAAGAAGTTGAGGTCTTGGAGATGACTTAAAAATGTATGTGTGTCATATTCATGTCATGTAACACCTAAGTACACCTTAAATCCTTATACACAGAATAAACTGATAAAATTAAGACAAAAGGAGTAAAGAAACAGCTTGAGACTGAGCTGGTCACATGCCCCCACCTTTTTTTTCCATATCAAAAAGATAGCTTAACTGCAACATTAAAATTTGTTTTTATATCACTCGTAATAGTATCCCCCAACATATTTTTCCTATTTTTCTTTCACATATGTGCATTTTTTCACACAGTTGCAGTCATAGGTATACACTATTCCTTATTGCCATATTTTTCAGAGCTTATTCCATTCTCTCTCCATGGGGCTGTGTAGTCTCCCATCATTATCACTTATAGTGGTTGTGTACTGTTTCATCTGGTTGATATACACTAATTTATTAAGCTATCCCCCTAATGTTTTTTTCTTTCATTCAGTAATAAAGTACATTTATGTTAAGAATTATGGTAAGCATTGGGGGTTAGAGATCAATAATACCAAATTCCTGCTCCTAGGAAGTTCACAGATAAGCAGGGCTTGTTTGGCCACTGAATAAAGGTTGTCAAACAAGGAGATGAATCAAATTGCTGATAGTTTTCATACACATATAAAGGAGCTCTTTATATGGTCTAGCAAGGGAGTTTTCTTTTAATATTATTTGGTCCAAATATTTTTTCTATTTTTGTCTTTGTTATTAGCAGTTAATTTTTTAATTACTCAAATCTTTCAGTTTTTCCTCCATTTTTTTTTGTTTCAAAATTCAGATCTCATTTTTCCACTTATCCGATAAATTATGCTATGTTCACTGTTGTTTTTCTCTACTAATTGATCTTTTATAGTTGCTTTTTTATTTTTGTAATGTTTTCAGAGTATGAGGTGCAAAGCTAACATAATTGCTTCTCAGTTAACCTAAAAAAATTGATGAAAGAAATCATCTACTCAGCTAGGCCTAATAATAGTTACCATTGGCATCAATCAACCACACTTGGCATTTCTCCACATCTGCACTTCATGCATTTTTTAAGGCTATATTATTCATATGCTTACAGCTTACTGTTTGCTTACAGAACTTGAGAGTTGGTGGTAGTTCTGGACCCTTTCACTCTCTTTCATTCATCTGTGTTCTCTATACCAGTGTCACTCTGCATCAGGCCTTGTTGCTTTGGAAAATGGTCAAGTGTATGTTTTATGCCTGTGTGCTGAATGCCCCAAAATCATGAACTTTAAAGTAAAAAAAACTTGATTTGAAATCCAAAGTTTACCATAAGTCTCAGTTTTTCCACAAATCCCAGTTTCACCATTTACTTATGTCACTTTTACCTTAGTAAACTTTTTGATCCTCTGTTTCTTCATCTGTAAAATTAGGAACAATAATACTAATGGTAATTTAAGAACTCCATGAGAATAGTGTATGTATAATCACACTAGGTTAGTGGAGCTGTCAGAAGCCCTCAGTAAATCATCTTTCCCCCTTCTATCTTGATCTACAACTGCACTGTCCAAAACTGTAGTCATTAACCATGTTTAAGTTTAAATTAATTTAGAACTAAATTTAAATTAGTTAAAACTAAATAGAATTTAAAACTCAATTTCTCAGTCACTGAAGTCACATTTCACGTGTTCAGTAAGCACCTGTGATCATGTCTGTCACCCTGGGCAGTACAGATAAAGAACATTTCCGTCATCTCAGTAAGTTCTGCTTTAGACATAACTCATAAGCTCTAGCTTTTTAGTATTACCAGTAAGTTTACCTGTAGTGGCAGTGGTTTGCATAATGGACCAGTTTGTAATATTATTTTTACTTTGCTCTCATTTGTGATAAAGAGATGTAACTAAGTTGTCTAAGGCTGTGGTAGCCATGGAGTTGCATGGGCTGCATTAGTGGGAAGCTGACATGAAACAGTAGTACCTGTCCTGTTTATCTCATGCAAAAGGTCAGAAAATAAAACACAGCTATGAGGCTATCTATGGCAGGTGTTTAGAAGGGCTGACATCTGCCAAAATGATAAAACCAAGGCATTTAATTATGCCTAACTAAATTTAATTTGTATAATTTGTAGAAATGTAATTAAAATGAGCCCTTTCCATCTCTTTTTTGCCCTAGGAAAGAGAATACTGTGCCAGGCCCAGGTTGGATATTATCCAGCCACTTTCTGAGACGTGCGAAGAGATCTCTTCAGATGCTCTAACAGTGAGAGGCTTTCAGGAAAATGAATGTAGAGATTATCACTTAGGTGAGAGAGATTGAGGCTCTGGCTCATGGTATTTCTTATATTTTTATCTTTCCCCCTTCCACTCAAGTAGCACAACCAGGAATTTAAATTGAGGTGCTGAAAAGATCTTAGAGAATATCTGGGCAGGCCTCTTATGTTACAGATGTGGGCATCGAGGCTAGGAAATACTGTAGAACTTGCTTGAGCACCAGTAGCAGAAGGGAGGGGAAAAGATGGGGCCAGGACTAAGGTGAGTAGGCTCTGTGATCTTTGTTCTTATACTTAGTCTGTTGTCCTATTTAATGTGACACCTAACTTATATTGATGTCAAGCAGCATGGTTCTGGTCACTCGCAACTTCATGTCCCTAGACAGTGTGCTAAGGGATGGCAGAGAAGTTATCTTTCTGTTTGTGACCAAATGCTCAGAGCCTTGCAGAGTGCCTGGCACATACTAGGGATTCACTGAATATTTGTTGAGTGGATGAATGAATATAATTAGTCACTGCTCAGAAATAAAGACAGTGCTGTTTAGTCATACCAGGGACATCTGTGTTTGGGTGTTATCATATCCTTGAAAAACACAAGGATATGACAAAAATAGAACAGCTTACTTAAGCTTTTAAGAAATTCTTTCTGCCCTGGCCGGTGTGGCTAAATGGTTACAGTATTGGCCGAAGCACCAAGGGGTTATGGGTTCTATTCCCAATTAAGGGGATGTACCTGGGTTGCAGGTTAGATCCCTAGCCCAGTCAGAGTGCATGCGGGAGGCAATCAATCAGTGTGTCTCTCTCACATTGATGTTTCTCTCTCCCTTCTTTTTTCTCCCCCTCCCTCCTTCCCTTCCATTCTCTCTAAAATTCAGTGGAGAAAATGTCCTTGGGAGAGCATTAACAACAACAAAAAACCCAAAAAAGAAATTCTGCTTTAAAAACAATTGACTTTTTTTTTTTTGGCGAATATTTTTACTTCTCATATTAGTGAAAAGGAAAAAAAATATTCTATACATGTTTGAGTTTTCTTGTATGAAGTCCCTAATCAGTTGAGAAATGTGAGAATAGTATATTCTGGACTTTGCAAAAAGCAAACATGATTCAAAACTGAAAGTGTCCAATCTAGATATTTTGCTCAGAGCAAACTCTGCTGCACACTTAGAAACCCTTCAGAACACGTTTTATAATTGAATTCTGCAGGAAACCCTCACAATTGGCATTGTGCACAACATGCTGGAATGGCAGATTATATCCCCAGGGCTTGGAGCATCTGTCACTTATGCTTTAGATGGCTTTGACCTTGATGAAGAGGAAACATTTTTTGCAGACTGTGGGGTGTGGTTCTGTAAAAATAGAACAGTGCTGTAAATGGCCATAAATAAAGTTTATATACAGTACATAAATTCTGATATGCAATAGATGTGGCAAATTTTGAACATTACCTTTCAGCTGAGATCAAAATTATTAAACACAGCATTTTAAACTCACCTTATTTTTAAAAGATTTTTTATATTTCTCCCCTCCTTACCTCCCTTCCGTTCTCCTTCCCTTTCTTTTTTTCTTCCAAATAACTTTACAATTAAATACTTTTTAAAGCACTGGAATATATTATTCCAGTTATTCTCTACCATGTCCTACCCCTACCTTCAAACAAAGCCAAAAACACTTGTTCCAAAGAGTTAAGTTTTCTGTTCATTCTTGCTAAGTTGGGTTGTCTAACAAAGTCCCCTGAACTACTGCCAAGGTTTCTAATGTTGAATTGCCTGAGATGTTCCTCTCTTCTCTCACCTATAGAGCATTCTGAAGGGGAATCACTCTTTTACATTGTGAGTCCAAGAGATGTCGTAGTAGCCAAGGAACGAGACCAAGATGACCATATTGACTGGCTCCTCGAAAAGAAGAAATATGAAGTAGTTTTGATTTTACTTTCTTAAATATATTGACACATCTGTAGCATAGAGAGGAAAAAAGGGTTTTGTGATAAATCTTTCACATAGGTGAATTAGAATGCCCTAAGCTAAAAATGTGTTGGAGGCTAATAACTTTCTAATATTCTTTTTTAGAAATTTGGGGGGTGAAAGATCACAAGGAGGTTAGCTGGCTTTACTGTTCAGTGGAGGAGGAGTTGGTAGTGGAGGGAGAGAGTGGGTTACATCCAGCCTGTTGAAGTGTTTATTTTGTGATTTTTCAAGAGAAATAAAATAGATCTAGTATTTCCGAATTGTCTGTTTAGATGTTTTTGTGGAATCATTCCTTTGGCACTTATTTCTTATGTAAAAATAAAGCTACCAAATTAATGTTCACTTAGGATAGTTGAACTACCTGTTCAGATGGAATGATGTCTACTTTATTTAGTGTTGGTTCAGACTAATTTTAGTAGCTAAAGTCCCATTATGATTTAAAAAAGAAAAGAAAAGGAAACATTTTTTAACTATAATGCCACAAAGGCATTATTGTGTTTGGTTTAGTTACAGAAACTCTCTTGATGGGCTTTGTGTACTAATCAGCTAAAGACAAACAAAAATAAACTATTTATAGATTACTTTAAGTTTGTGACCATCTGAAAGGATTTGGGGAAAAAATTTTTAATTTATAAACTATTTAGAGTCCAGGTATTGGTACCAAGTTCATACCATATTGCTTTAGCTCCAAATAGTTTCTTAAAGAAATAATTCTATGTTTTAAACATTTGTGTTAAAGTAATAATTGTAAACTTTCCAGAGTAAAAATCAAATCAGAGATTTTCAAAATCTTATTTGTAGATATACCTAAACATAAGCATATAGTTTACTTTTAATGTATCAAATAGGAAAAGACAGATGAATTTTTTTTTGTTTGAATCTGGGAGCTTTAGTTATATTTTGATTTCTGTCTGAAAAGTAATTCTAATATCCTAATGTGGAAATTAATTAAAATGGAAATAAGAGGAGTCTTCATTTTGGTTGCATGCTTTTGTTTGAGTTTGAATGCAGTGAGGCTCATTCAACCATAGCATTAGAAATTCCTGTGCTTGAAGCAAAAGCCAAGGGAAAATGGGGCTTTATTTATGTAGTCTAGAACTCTAAAACATAATAAGTATATTGTGTTTATAACTCATATCTTTACCACTCTCTCCCATATTTCCTCCACCTTTTCTACTCCTTTTATCATGCTTATGTAATATAGGAAGCTTTGATGGCATCTGAAATTAGCCAGAAGAACATTAAAAGACATAAGATTCTGGTAAGTGTGTAATTTTATTATTTGAAATATAATTTTATCTTTCTTCCTTTTTTTTCAGTTTATCCTTGTTGTTGAAAGTATTACAGATTTCCCCTTTTTTCCGCCATTGACCCCCTCCGCCCTACTCCAGCGCTTTCCCCAGGCTTTCACCACACTGATGTCTGTGTCCATGGGTTATGCATATATGCATATAAGTTCTTTGGTTAATCTCTTCCCATCCCCACCCTTCCCTCTAATATATATCAGCTTCAGAGTTTCTGGGTCTATTTTGTCAGTTTATTTTGTTCATTAGATTCCATATGTAAGTGATATCACATGATTCTTGTCTTTCTCTGACTGACTTATTTTACTTAGCGTAATACTCTCCAGGTCCTTCCATGCTGTCTCAAAGGGTAAGAGATCCTTCTTTTTTACGGCTACGTAGTATTCCATTGTGCAAATATACCAGTTTTTTAATCCATTCATCTACTGATGGGCACTTGGGCTGTTTCCAGATCTTAGCTACTGTAAATTATGCTGCTATGAACATAGGGGTGCATATATTCTTTCTGATTGGTTTTTCAGGCTTCTTAGGATGTATACCTAGAAGTGGGATCACAGGGTCAAATGGCAGTCCCATGTCTAATTTTTTGAGGAAACTCCACAATGTTTTCCATAGTGGTTGTACCAGTCTGCATTCCCACCAACAGTGTACTGGAGTTCCCTTTTCCACATCCTTGCCAGCATTTCTTGTTTGTTGATTTACTGATGATAGCCATTCTGTCCGATGTGAAGTGGTGCCTCCTTGTTTTAATTTGCATCTCTCTGATGATTAGTGATATTGAGCATTTTTTCATATGTTTCTTGGCCATCTGTATGTCCTCTTTGGGGAAATGTCTATTCAGGTCTTTTTTAAATTGGATTGTTTGTCTTCCTTTTGTTGAGTAGTATGAGTACTTTATATATTTTATCTTTCAATAAGTTATAATGAAACTGAAAGTAATTTAAAAAGAACTGATTCTTCCTATCTTTTGAGAATTTATTTCAAACTAATTCTCCAACCTGTAAGATGAAAATATTTTATTTTATTGAATCAGTTTCTGCTTGTAAACAAGAGACTTGAACACCTGCTAGGAGATAGTTTTAGGTAATTTGGAAACTGGATTTGTGAAATACACTTTAAGTACAAAGCTTTCCAGTTATGTGTGGAGAGGTTTCTTTAAATCATAGGTGAAACCACATTATCACAAAATGTATCAAGAGTGGTTTCATAAAAGTAGATTGCTTCACAGTGTTTCTATAATAACAGACTCAATTGATTTTGTTATGGAGACTAATTTAGGACATCAAATACGTTTTTATTACATTTGGACTCTGAAAAAATATACTGACTGAATGCCTGTTTCTTTGCTAACTGTGACAATGAATGTGCAGAAGAAACGCAGGAAATAAATCTTAACCTCTGAGTGTGAAGGGTCCTTTGAAACCATCTAGCCCAGGACTCTTGTTTACAGATGAAAACTGGAAACTTAGTCTTTTATGGTTACTTGTTTTTCATCACAACTTCCTTTTGCCTATACTTCCCCCAGCTTAAGCTTCTTTGTAAAACTCCACATAAAAGCCTAATTCCCAAGAATGTGCAAGCAAAATAATTCAGGAAATAAACAGCGAAAGAACTGGGGCATCTCTTTTTTTTCCATTCAAAATTGTGGAGAATAAGAAAGGATTGTCTAAAAATGAAGCAGAAGGCATTCCAGCCAATAGTATATGTCATGGTGCAGGGTAGTGAAACTGCTTGGCCTGCTTGCTATGTGGAGTAGTTGAGGAGTTTATACATAGGAAGAATCTGATCCTGAAAGGCCATGTGTAATTAGGAGTTTGGCTGTGTCTTGGAACCTCTAGAAGACAGTTTAAGCTTTCAGTGCCTCATCACATTTGCTTGTTAGAAAGATTCTCTGATGGAAATGGGGCCAGAGGGAGGCCAGCTGAGATAGGAATCAGTGAGGTATGATTCCCTTCTTGATGTAGAGGTGGAAGTGATGAGACCTGCAAAGTTGATAGGAATGGAGTGGTGAAGGTAGGTGGAAGACATGGTCAACTGGACTCTTTGGAATTTGATGACTGGCTCTGTGTGCACGGGGAAGTGAGAGTGAGAAATCTAGGCTGACTCTCAGGCTTTGGTCTTGGGCCTCTGGTGGATGGTATTGCCATTTGGAGGGAAGGAGGGATGGGGAGAGAGAGAGAGGGAGAGAGGGAGGGAAAAGGGGAAGGGAGAGGAGGAGTAGAGTAGGAGAGCAAGAAGGGGGAGGGGAGGGGGAGAGAAAGAGACTATGCAAGGTGTAATAGGATCCGGTGTGTGTGTAGCGGGGGTGAGTTTTGGTTTAGACACATTGAGTTTTTGCCACCTATAGAACATAGTGGAACTCAGGAAAGATCTGGACTCAGAAATAGATTTGGGAGAATCACCAGCAAACAAGTGACTGCGCGTGTTTGGACTAATCCACACAGTGCAAGTGTCTAGCATTAGAGAACAGAGGACGATGAATGGAACCATTGGGAACACTCACGTTCAAGGGATTATGCATACAAACAGATTTGGAACAGCCAGAGGAAGATTATGCCATGGGAGCTGAGAAAGGAGAGAATTTCAGAGTAAAGAGAGTTAAATGCTCAAATGGTTGAGGTTAGCAGGTCAAAAGTAAGACAACCTCAGCTAGTCAGTTGTACATTTGGTTTGGTAATATGAAAGTGACTAGTGAATTTTATGTATATGTATTATTTATTCTCAACATGTTCTAGAGAGTGAAAAGTAAATAGGAGATTATGAAGTAAAATGTAGACTAGTTATGAAGTAGAGAAGAGTGAAAACTTGTTGGGAGCTGTGACATCATGGGAAGGTTGGTGGTGGTGATGGATATTTTATGTAAAAGAGACACTTAATATGCTTATGCTAAGGGAAAAGAGATAAAATTGGGTTGAAGTTTAAGGTTTACAGAGAAAGAGGATGTGTGGTAGAATAAACCCCACATGGAAAGGGGCCATGGCATGAGAAGAAAGGTTGCAGAAATTGACACTTTGAACCTGGACAGAAGCTTTCCATTGATATTGTGATATGTGGTCTGTTTTCAGAGAAATAAATTTAGGCACCGTTTCTTTACTCTATAGTTCCTATATATTTGAAATAGGATTCCCTACGTAGTAGTCATTAAAGTAAAAATAAAATAAGAACTATGTGTAGTTTCCTTCACTCTTGGAATAGGCATGTCCTATGCATTGATTATGCATAGACTTTTTTCTCTTGGCACAATGTAATTTCATAATCAGGTAGGCAGAGGGAGAAATGAACTCATGCCAATTTTGTCATCCAGGAAAAAATTCCGCAAAAACTTCTTTGTACGTAAAGTAGAACTTAAAATCCAAGTTTTGTTATATATGTTGAGTTTAAGCTTCTCATGAAAATGTTTTTGGGCGAAAGTAGTATTTTATAAGAGGAGTCATGGGGAAGTCAAGCAAGAGCTCTCATGCCTCTGCTGCCACAGGGCACCCCAAATCCTTTCAGAACCGAGGTAGAATAAATGAATAAACATGAATACTTTGAATCCAGTCAGTTCTGCTTTGAGGCCCAGTGTCCTCATCTGTAATCTCATGTGTTTGAATTACATATTTTTCTGAGCTCATTTTCACTTTAATATTTCCCTTTAATATGATGTTCTATCATTTTGCTTTTCTTACCACGTTTCTTCAGACTTAACATAGAGTACACAGGTAGCTCACATTTACAGATGAAAGCTCATTGTGAATTCTAAAATTTGTGAAAATACAAGTATATTTAAATATGATTAGGATGAGAATGAGCATAATTACAGAAATATGCTTAAGGAAAAAAAGGGCATAATTACATAAAGCAAACTAAGATATATAAATAGGTTTCAGTCAGTAGTGCTAATAGGACCCTAATGTGGTGGCCTCCTCAGAAACACACTCAGCTTTTCAGTTCCAGTTAATTATGAAATTCCTTCATTTAATTTTTTCTAGGACATCGGCTTGGCATATATAAACCATCTGGTGGAAAAAGGAGAGTATGACATAGCAGCACGGTAATAATCACATTTACTTGTTAATATAAATAGAACTGATCAATGTTAGCAGTAAAAATAAGCCATTCTCTGCAGTTGACAGGCTTTTTAAAAAAATCTTTCTAATGGGTAATTTTTTACTATTAATGGTTTTAACCACAGAACAGATTGATATATATTATTTACCTACCTACTATCTCATTTTCACCAAACATTTTTCTCATTACTTAATGAAAAAGGTGTCAAAACCCATGAAGAGTCTGAGATTTTTATCTGTTTTATAAACTAACAAGTTAGCTTGTCACGGTTTCAAAGGTGCCTCATCAGTAATAGTAGCCAAACACCAGCACTTGCCAGATCCCACAGCCCCAGTTCTCACAGCGCAACACAAAGAGGGCCTACACAGGCAGTGGGTTGTGTTACAGGAGAGGGACCCTGAACTTAGAGTATCTGATTCTTTTACAATGGGCAGTAAGTTTCCCTTCCCTTGGCTTCAGAGGAAGTTGTTACTTTTATTATACAGGATAGAAAACAAACCTGCTCTTTGCTCTGGAGGGAAGCACTATTTGAGTCCTCTAATTTTCAGGGCTCTTCACTCAACAAGCATCCTTGAGAGGAAGGTAGTTTAAAATAAAGGCAGTCCGTGCCTCTGCTTGCAATTCAAGCAGAAGTGTCTCTCAACAAGAGGGTGGCAATTAAATGGAAGTGATCAGACCCCAGACTCCTGGGTTTCAGGGGTCTGTGGTGGACAGAAAACACACATGTGGTTGTATGAGTGTGTCATATGAGTGGCTTTGCCTGCAGTTGTGTGCTGCCCTTCTGCAGGACTGCGTGTACATGGCTAACATGGAAGGTAGCCTTCAAGCCTACTTTTCCTCACCTGAGATTTAGGGAAATATATTTCATTGATGTGTAAATTGAGTAAAGTTTTATTCATATGTGAACACTTCTCCAGATTATATACATTAGTACTAGAATAGGATTCTAATTTTCTTAAGTCTAATTTTATAGTCCATTATTTAAAGCCATTCAAGAAGTGATTTAAATTGGCACTTTTGGGTATGATGACATTTCTTCAAGGCAAGAAAGGTCCCCAAATCAGCAGTGCTTATCTGGATAAATAGGAAACTCAGAACAGGAAAGTCATGAGGAAAACCCCAAATTGTAGTCTTCTGAAAGGTATTCATCTTTAGAAGTATTTTGTATTAATTTTTATGACTTTCATCAACCTTGTATATACAATCAAGTGAGTACCAGTAATACCTTTATGTTCAGTGGTACTTGAGACAGAAATTTTTCAAAACTCTAAGATGAGAGGAAATGTCTACTTATTCTGTCTATTTTTTTGCTTATACTTTCTTTCTCTCTGTGATGTTTTTGCTGCCAGCAAATGCCAGAAAATTCTTGGGAAAAATGCAGCACTCTGGGAATATGAAGTTTATAAATTCAAAGAAATTGGACAGCTTAAGGTAAGCCTTACTTTATTTTTAACTCTTAATTTTTGTATGTAGTTTATTAATATAGGTATGCCTTGGAGATATTGTGGGTTAGGTTTCAGACCAGTGCAATAAAGCAAATATCTCAATAAAGCAAGTCACGTGATTTTGTTTCCCAGTGCATATAAAAGTTGTTTACACTATTCTGTAATTTATTAAATGTGAAATAGCATTATACCTAAAAAAAGAGTGCACATACCTTAATTAAAAAATACTTTATTGCTAAAAAAAAAATGCCAATCATCATCTGAGACTATTGGAAAAATGATTTCAATGGACCTGCTCCACGCAGGGTTGCTACAAACCTTCAATTTGTATTTTTTTTAAAAAGCAGTATCTGTGAAGCGCTATAAAGCAAGGTACAATAAAACAAGGTATGTACTTATTGAGATGGAAATAAAATTAAGACAATAGTAGTCACTTCTTTATTGGGAAGTTAGTATTATCTCAGCAAGGAAGAAAAATGAAACTTTTAGATTAGTTTCAAAATATAAACCTGATTTATATTTCATATGTATAAAAATACACGTATATAATGTATTACATAAATGAGGTGTTCACTTTTTTATCCCCTTCCAGTTCTATGTTCAGATGAAGTTTTCATGTTCCTTTTTTAAAAAAAAAAATTATTGATTGATTTTAGAAAGAAAGAGGAACAGAGGGAGAGAGACATTGATTTGTTGTTCCACTTATTTATGTAATCTTTGGTTGTTTCTTGTATGTGCTCTGACTGGAAATTGAACCCTCAACCTTGGTGTATGGGGATGACGCTCTAACCAACAGAGCTACTGGCCAGGGCTAGTCATTATATTTTGTTTTTTGTGTTTTAAATCTTCACCCGAGGATATGTTTTTAGAGAGAGAAAAGGAGTGAAAAAGAGAGAAACAATGATCTGTTACCACCCATATTTGGGGATCAAACCTGAAACTGAGCATGTGCCCTGACCGGGAATTGAACCCAAAATCTTCTGGTGTACCGGATGACGCTCCAACCATCTGAACCACCTGGCCAGGGCTAGTCATGTTATTTTTAATGAATGTGGAAAATAGGTATAGTTTCATCCAATAGATTATGAAACATGAGGGGTTTTTTTCAAATGTACTTAAGGTTAATGCTTTTTTAAATAATACTTTACTTACTGTAAAATAAATGGGAAAGTTTGATTATGTAGCTCTAACAAATAATTTTGATACTTCATTGTTTTTATCTTGCTTTTTTTGGGGTTAATCTTCACCAAAGGATATTTTTTCTATTAATTTTGGTGGGGAAGAGTGGCGGGAGGGAGACAGAAACATTAATGTGAGAGACACACATCTATTGGTTGCCTCCCACACGTGCCCTGACCAGGGTCGGGCATCAAACCTGCAACCCAGGTACATGCCCTTGACTGGAACAGAATCTGAGACACTTCGGTGGGCAGGCAGACGCTCTAACCATTGAACAACACCGCCAGGGCCATTTATTTATCTTTTAACGTGGTGCACAATATCCAGGTAAATAAAGTATTCCTATATTTGTTTATTTAAAAAAAAAGCTTTAACATATGTATGGGCCTTTTCACTGCTCTCTTGGCATTATGAATATTCTTTTAAAAATTCCCAGTTACTCAGCTGGTCAGCCCCATAAGTATTCTCTTCCCTGGGATACCCCAAGGACACTTCTTCTCATGTTTATTGGGCTGTTTCTGGAGGGTGTTATCCAGTCCTGTGGCCATGTTTACCTAGATAGCTCCATAACCTAGACTTCTCTTTTGAGTTTCTTATCTACGTAGGAAGTATGTGATGGCCATTTTTCCTTGTATATATTGCTGATAAGGATCACTCAAATGGATCACTTAAATTAATGTGATTCCATTTTTTCCCCAAATTCGGTCATTCTCTTTTCAATGTGTGTTTATGACATCACATTATACCCATTCCTCCATGCTTAATAGCTGAAAGCCACTGTTTTGATGAGAATGTCTAACTCTGTTTAACACCTTATTCTGTTTAATCTCTAATTCTTTTCAGTTTTACTCTGTCAGTATCAATTGGGCCTCTTTCTTTCCTTCTGGTACTGCTGCCTTAACTCTTGATAGATCTACCAGCAACCCTGACCCAGAGTTAGCTATTTAAAAAATAATGTGCTGCTCTCACTTCCGTAATATCTGTTGTTTCCCTCCTGCCCATAAGATAAAATCTGAATTCCTTCCATGACCTGGCCTCGCCTTCCTCTCCAGCCTCATCTTCCTTCAGTTACCTCATTCCACATCTGTCACCTCCTTAAATACAGAGTATGCTTACATGGCTCTACGCCTTTGCTTATGCTGATCCCCCTGCCAGGGTGGCCTTTTTTTGCCTTTCTTTGCCTGACAGACCTGGGTTTCTGTGATCTCTGCTCCAGTGTGCAAGAGTTGCCACAGCACCTTGTTAATTCCGCTCTTATACCACTCCACATAATATTCAATTTGGCTGTTCAGATGTCTGTCTACCTTCCTCTGGGGCTGTGAGCTCCTTGGAATGGTGATTTTGGTGCATAGTTCCCTACATCATCATTTGACAGTATTTGGAAATTTGACACTTAACACAGCGCTGAAATAGCTGAAGAACACAAGATGTATTTCCCCCTGATTTCAAAAGATGATTTTGAGTTTTTAAAGGTTGATATATTTCAATTGAAGGAAAGAAAGTTGAATAGATGACCTATACTGATTGATTACTTAAGAGGTTGACTTTTATTATCATCTCTGTGACCTTCTCCCCCTTATTGTTTAGATTTTCATTAGTTCATCAGAAAGAACAGAGATGCAAGTTAACCAAGGCAGTTTTTATTCATTCAAATATATATATCCTTTATAGATACTTAAAAAAAATTATAGTGTGTTATAAGAAAGTAGAGTTTATTTGAATCTTTTCACTTTATAATAATTTTCCAAAGTACTTTGTTGCCTTAAATTTTAAAATTGAAAATATACTTTTATGGTTTTGCATAATTTGAGTATAGTTTTGTTTTACCACTTTTTAAAGGTTGTTTTGTGTGTGTTTTTCCTTTTCCTTCCCTAGGCTATTAGTCCTTATTTGCCAAGAGGGGATCCAGTCCTGAAACCACTCATCTATGAAATGATTTTACATGAATTTTTGGAAAGTGATTATGAGGTATTGCATTCAGGCATGGTCATATTTACTTGTTTTCAATGGAAAATGTTAAGAAATTTAGAAAAATAATATAATGGAGCAACTAGTTTAAAGTTAACTGATTTGCAGTTTGTGTGTGGTAGATGAAACTGAGGTAGATAAACTCCAGTGATAACTAATGTTTTTGTAGATGGTGAAAAATTTCTAATCCATGTAAATTTTGGAGAATTTCTCAAAGTTACCAACTTAATAGAAAAAGGGACTAAGTGCCATTTGGGGATTTCATAAGTAGAATAGCAGCTGCTGCTGTTTATCCCCCCTAAAGAAATCAGAACGTTCTAACATGTGAGACTCAGAATTAAATTTCCCAAAGGAGAATTAAAGAGAAATTGAGGAGGTAGAAATGGGGAAAGGGATTAGAAATGATCTGTTTGCTTATTGATTAAGGAGAAAGGCAGTTCATAAATTGATTGTCTGCTATACAATGAACTTTTACATGCAAATTGTGATTTTTATATTCCCACCAACACTATAAATAGTAATACCAATTTTACAGATGAGGAAAGTAAAGAATAAAGAAATTATATAACTTGACCCAGGCCATACATTTAATACATAGCATGCCTGGATTGTAATTTAAGTTTGCTGTTTGCATGCACCCAAAATGGATAATAATTTTTTAATTTTGTTCATTTAACACACATTTATTCAGAAAGTATCTGTTTACTGCCTACTACATTCCAGGAATGTGTTAGGCACTAGGCATACAAGTGTGAATGGAACGATGATCCTTCAGCAATCACTCATAGTCTGAGTCACACCCAAGCATGTAAACCAGTGGTTCTCAACAGTGGCTGGTTTTGTCCCTCAGAGGAGTTTGTGCTACTGTCATTTAGAGGTTAGAGGCCAGCAGAAATATGCTGTTATATATCTCACAATGCACAAGATAGGCCCCTGCCACAAAGAATGACCTGTCCTCAGATGTCAGCATTACTGAGGTTGAGAAACCCTGATATAAAGCTATCAACAAAGCTCTTAATAAAGCTATCAATAAAATATTGTAACTAAGACTCAACCTGGTTCCCCTTCTGAAAAGATGAGATTTCTGGTGGGCAGTCAGACTAGAGGGGGAATGAGAAAAGGAACTCCTATGTTTTTGAGTGCCTACTGAGTACTAAGCACCTTGTTAAGATACTTTTTTAACCAATAACTGATTCAGTTTAAGGAATGGTAATATAGCAAACACTGTTTCAACTCTGAGATTATTTTTACATCTTAAGATCTAAAGGGACCTTTAAGATAGTGATCTCTTACCCTGATAACTCAAGTATATGGTCAGTTACTGTCAACCAGGTAATCCTGGATATGTAAGATCAGAGCATCACGATGCATATATATGATCTGTATAATCCCTTTACTTTTATAACCTGTATTCTTAAAGAAAGAAATTAGGTGCATTAGCATGAATTCAAGTTGAACAAAATATTTCCTTAATAATCATACATACTAATGGAGGCAGTGTTTCTTCATCTTGTTCTCTTAATAGATGTATTATAAAAATCCAGTCTTCCCTAACAGCATGGATCTATTCCTTTCTGGATCTGTACAGAATATTTTTATGGTAATAGTTTCTGTCATTTATGCTAGATACCAACTCATGTAGGCTATGGTTTCTATTTATTTCCTTTTCAGTTCAATTCAACATACCTTTTTTTGGAATCTGCTGTGTTCTAGAACTGGGCTGAGTACTATGTTGGATGCTAGAGAAATTAAAAAACACGGTCTTGGCCTTCGTTGGGTTTACAGACTGACCAGGGAGACCATATTAATAAGCTTTAAACAACTAGAAAAATAAGTAAGACAGAGTAATATGTTTTCTAAAATATCTAAAGAGAGGCCAGTATTGTCCATAGTTATTGGAAAAGGTTTCTTCAGTGTATAAAGACTTATAATGTACTTCTATTTCTTTCCAGTATGTCTGACTACACAGAGTGGCTGTCATAAATATTCTGTCTTTGTACATCATCCCAAAATAGAATTATGAGTATTCTGTGAAAATGATGGAAAATAGTATGCACTTTATGAAGAAATACTGCAGCTTATTATATATGTCTTTATAAAAAGTAATGTAATTTAATCATAAAAAGCAATTTTATTATCTTTATGATTCTGTTACAGTTTTTTTTCACACGATTCAGCTCTTTTTCAAGAAACTTTTAATTTCTGTACCATCAAAATTATCCTTTTGACACATATCTGGAAGACTTCTTCTTTTAAAATCCCAATGATACGTTTTTATAGAGAGAGAGAAACATCAGTGTGCAAGGGAAACATCGGTCAGTTGCCTTCCTGTACATGCCCTGACCGGGGGTCAAACCTGTAACCTAAGTATGTGCCCTGACCGGGAATCGAACCCACAACCTTTTGCCGTACACTACGTCGCTCCAGCCAACTTAGCCACCTGGTTAGGGCATATCTGGAAGGCTTTTGACTGAGACTGAAGGAAAAAAGCATGACTTAAACTTAGAGCTTATAGATTTCTTTTTCCTGAATGTTTTGGGTGTCTTCCTCCTTCCTACTAATGTTATAAACAATTTTTTATTGTCATAAGCTTTTATAAATAATTCATATTTACTTTCCATTTTTCTCAGTTTCATGTTTAATTTTGAATTAAATTGTCCCATATTTAGTCAGATAGCATTGTTCTGTAGCAAGATTTTTTATCACATGTTATGTAGATGAAAATTTCGTGCTGTTAAACAGCATTAAAGGCCAGATTTTTTAATAAAGCTGTACTTCTGGAATATTGACTTACCCATATTCTTTTCTTCCTAAAAAGATATGAAATATCAGTATTTCCTTGGAGTTGATGATGCTTCATGACTTATTTGTATAGGGTTTTTACTGAAATGCATATTGTTTTGCCTGTTAATTTACATCCTAGCAGAATTATTTTAAATAGTTAAGCTTTGTTTTATAATATTAATGAGAAATGTATAGGCATGTTAAAAGTGGGACAATTTCTATGGCATTTTATTTAATGAATATTTCTAACCTTTTGCTTACTATAATGGACACTGAGATGTCTCTTGACTTTGCTAACTCAAACGTAATAGCTTCCTGATAACTTGATTTTGTAATTAATAATAATGGCCACAGGGTTAATTTCATCAGCATTTCTTAGCACGTTTATTCACAGGTATACAAAGCCCATTAAGGAGGGAAAAGTTTAATAGGACATGTAATAAACACTAATTGCAGTTTATGTTGGAATCAGCATGCTTTTATCATACAACATGACCAGTCAGTTTGCCTTATTTTACATCATAAGTTGGCATTACTTTGAGGCCGTTGGATAAACAGGGAAAAGAAAGTGGAGCCAAGCTTTCTTCTTTACCTGAACAGTATTATTCCCAGTCTCCAGACTACTGAGAGCTACCAGTTATTTGGTGGGAATCCAAACTATCATTTTGGTTTAGAGAATATTTTAATGTTCTTATTTAGTAGTTTTATAAAATATATCATCTTGACTTAGCCCCCTCCTCAAATCTCTCAAATCAAACTGTAATCATGCTCATATGTAGAAAGTTTGAATGGAAATGTGTAGCCTGTTGTTGTCATGTCTTGCCACCCTTCCTGGGGGTCACTTTAGGAGAAATTGGGAGGACTTTAATGGAGACTGTGTTTCTGATCGTTTTGAGATTTTCTTCTTACGAAGTCCTGGTACTTTACAGAAGCGAATTGTACCACACGATTTTCATTTCTAAATATCACTTAAGTAAATTCATAGTAGTATATTAAAGCACTGGTTATTTAATATTAATATGATTTTTTTTCAATAATATGAAGATTTTTACTTCTACTTGCTAAAAGTCAGGAATCAGGAGGGCAGAGGCTCCCCAGGATACAAGCCAAGAATCAGCCATGGGAGAGAAACAAGATCCAGATGATCTGGGGTTTTCTATCAGAACCACAAAATTTGAGATCCAGTGATAGTCAGGGTAAGAGCTAGGAGATAAGACTTGAACCAGAGTCCCAAATTCCCGACGAAAACTGGGTTTAGAGGCGGGAGTGGAAGGAGGACAAACATGGTCACTTGTTGAAAGATGCTGGGCGGTTCCACTGTGGGACAAGCCACAGTATGCTGTGCTGGCTGTGCAGCCCAGACCTAACGTGCATGAGAGGTGGTGGGGGAGTAGCTGACTTGACAGTATCTGTAAGATGTCATCCACATGCTACAGTTAGTCCAGAATGAGGACAAAGCAACTCAAACCTACATTCTCTCTGTGCAGTGGTACTTTATTGAAGGACCAGAGGGCATTTCTTACTTGTGCATTTTATCAAATAAGAACAGAAGCGAATGACACCGCCTACTTCCCAGGAGTGGTAAATAGAGATTAGTGTGCAGTAATTTTCTCTCTCCCTTGGCCACCCCTAAACCCATAGTCTGGAAATTGCTGTGTTTATGGACCAAAGTTTTCATCATAAAATTATTTTGTCTCTTTACATCAGGGGTGGGGAACCTTTTTCTGCCAAGGGCCATTTGGATATTTATAACAACATTTGCAGGCCATACAAAATTATCAACTTAAAAATTAGCTGTGAAAAAAGCTCCTAGATTTGTTGAATTTCAAGCTCCGCCTGCGGTTGCCTTGGCAGAGCCAGACCAAAAGATTTCACGTGCTGTATATTGCCCACGGGCCAGATGTTCCCTACTCCTGGTTTACAGGAATATTTTAGGCATTGTTTAAACTATTTAGATAGTTATCCTATTTCAAGAGTTTTCTTCTTTTTCCTCTTTGGTTAGGGTTTTGCCACCCTGGTTCGAGAATGGCCTGGAGATCTGTACAACAATTCGGTAATAGTTCAAGCAGTTCGGGATCACCTGAAGAAAGATAGTCAGAACAGGACCTTACTTCAAACCCTGGCAGAATTGTGAGTATAATTTAGTTCTTTTTCCAAATCAACCTATATAGGAAGTTTTTTATATTTTAGATCTGGTAAACTCTGGATGGGGAGGACACAGAGGAGGGAGCCTTTTATACCATTTTTCTACATTCACTCTTAGTGAAAACCTTTCATAAACCTTCAGTGAGCAACTAGGCAAGACAAATGTGTGAAATTGTGCCATTGTAATGTTATCTGTTTCCCAGAGAAGAATCCTTGTCAACAGTACTTGGTATGGGCAGTGGTTCCTAAAGGGAAGGGTGCTGGGTCTTAGATTACATAGGCAAATTAGTTTCCTCATGAGGCTGTGGAGTCTGTCGTTCTTGGATCTGCTAGTCAGTCTATCAAACCTCAGACTCCTTATCTGTAAGACTGCAGGTAATAATTCCTTATGGGATGGTTTTCAGACGTGAGATATCATAATCAAGAACTAAGTGCAGTGCCTAGCATTGACCTGAGGGTTCAGTAAATGGAATCTAGATTATGTTTCATATTTATTGGGCACTTTCAGTGGCCCAGGCTTTGTGCTATATGCCTGTGATACAGAGACAGATAAGGTACTCGTGCCCTCAAAGAGCTTTGGTCTATTCGCAGGGGTGGGTAATGTCCAGCCCATGGGCCATTACACGGCCCGTGAAATCTTTTGGTCTTGCCCTGCCAAGGCAACCGCAGGCAGGACTTGAAATTTAACAAATCTAGGAGCTTTTTCCATAGCTAATTTTTAAGTTGATAATTTTGTATGGCCTGCAAATATTGTCATAAATATCCAAATGGCCCTTGGCAGAAAAAAGTTTCCCCACTCCTGGCTAGTGAAACAAGAAGCAAACTGCAGGTAATCTCAGGGAGACTGTTCCTGCTTCAGGCCTTTCTTGGCACTCCCACCACTCCAGACCTCCCTCTTGCCCATCTTATATCTTCTGCCAAGACTAAGGAAAGTACGCCAAACTGCCTAGAATTGAGGACTGTTTAAAACTTTCCACAGAGGGAGTTGTGTTTGTGGCATTCTGAGTTAGAACACTCATCATTTTCTTCTGGAAATATTGTTCTAGATATTCCTTAGATTCTGTAGTACTAACAAAATACCAATAATACTAATAATTATATAGTACTAATACTACACTCACAGTGAAGTTTAGGTTCAACTGGCTTTCAGGAGCCAGCATAGAGAATTAAGCAATGTGTAAAACATTGTTTAAACAGAAAAACACATTTAAATTTTATACAGCTCCCTTACATATAAGCTTTTGGAGTATCATTCATTTATCAGCTGAATACTATTTATAAGAATTTGAATGAATTTTTTTACTACTAGAATAAGCATTTCCTTCATTCTAGATCATAGTTTTTGTTGTTGTATGGATTTATATAAAAAATTTAGAAAATTTCTATGAAAGAAACTTTTATTGAATATTATAAATTTTCTGAAATTTTGGTGAGATGTAAAGCAAGACTGTGAGAAAGTAATATTTATTGGTCACCCTAGCTGGTTTGGCTCAGTGGTTAGAGCATCGACCTGTGGGCTGAAGGGTCCTGGGTTTGATTTTGGCCAAGGGCATGTATCTCGGTTGCAGGCTTGTTCCCTGGCCCCTGTCGGGGCGCAGTTAGGAGGCAACCAATTGATGTATCTCTCTCTTATCGATGTCTTTCTCTCTCTTTCTCTCCTTCTCTCCCTCTCCTTTCCACTCTATCTGAAAAGCAATGGAAAAAATATCCCTGGGTGAGGATTAGGAAAAAAGAAAAGAAATATTTATTTGTCATGTATTGTTAAATCCAAGGCATAGTTTCCAAATAAAGTTAACTTTCTTCTCTAAACATGTTTTTCATTTTTTAATATTGTAAGACATGATTTGTATATGACTATGTTTATGTTTAAGCAGAAGTATTAATGAACATTAATGTAAAACATTTTTATTACCAGGTATACCTATGACAAAAATTATGGGAATGCTCTGGAAATATACTTAACATTAAGACATAAGGATGTTTTCCAGTTGATTCACAAGCATAATCTTTTCAGCTCTATCAAGGATAAAATTGTTTTATTAATGGATTTTGATTCCGAGGTAATGTTTTTATTTTATTTTAATAATGATAACTTATTTTTACTCCTTCAAATTTTTAGTAACTAGACATCTATCCAAATGATAGAGTAGTTAGTAAATCACATAGCTTGACTGTATGCTGATCATGTTCAGAACACTCTGACCCTTGCTGTATGTTAGGTATTTTAGAAGTTGCCATTCAGAAATCCTTTATTTGATGTGATTTTTCTGTAAAAGCAATCATAATTTGATGTGGGACTTTTGAAATTGTGTGTGAAGTAAATTTTTAGTAAAACAATTCACATGATTCATAGAAACTATATGCTTTGGCTCATTCAACCCTCTAAATTGTATGTGCCAGAATTAAAATTTTAAGTAAACTTTTATTTTGATCTACTTATTGTAACTTTATTCCTTCGCATTTACAGATTTAGCATGTGGAGTATCCACTAGTCCCAGATGACACTTAGATCCAGGACATGTGGGATGTGTTATTTTATTGTAAGACAAATTTGAATGGTGGATTGCTTGACTAATGATGGCACCCAGCCTCCACAGCTCACAGGGGCTCTTTGTAAAGTGATACAAACCGTGTGTGAGAGTGTGTGTGTGTGTGTGTGTGTGTGTGTGTGTTTATAAAAGAAAGCTAATGACAAGTTCTAATGATTGAAATAAAAAGGTTCATAAAATATAGTAGTTCTTATTCAGAAAATTGAAAATTTAGGTAAATCAAAGAGGAGAATATTAAGGATCCAAAAGGTTTTCTGGGATTTTTCCATTTTAATTTATGTATGTAAAGGTATTATAGGCTATATTATGTATATGTGTATATTATATATATTATACATATATGTTACTTATTAATCTTCACAAACTTAAACTTAATTTAAATAGAAGCTAAATATACCTCTTTTTTTTGAAAGATGACTTTAGCTCATTTTTTTCATTCTGAATGAATCAAGTCTTTAGGGACTACAGACCTAAAGAGAATTAGTGCAGTTCCCAGGAAGTTCAGGTCTAGAGGTTCTATGTCTCTGGCTGAAGATTATTAAGAAGATGAGGCGCTTATATAAAAAATTATTACAGCCCTGGCTGGTGTTTCCCAGTGGTTAGAGCGTCAGCCTGCCCACCTGAAGGTCATGGGTTCAGTTTCTGTCAGGGGCACATACCTGGGTTGCAGGTCTGATCCCCACCCCAAGTCAGGGTGTGTGTTGTGTGGAAGGCAACCACTTGATGTGTCTCTGTCACATCAATGTTCCTTTCTCTCTCCCCCCGCTTCCTCCCTCCCTTCCACTCTCTAAAAATCAATGGAAAAATATCCTCCTTGGGTGAGGATTAAACATAATAGTAATTTAAAAATTATTACTTTTGCCCATATTCTAATGCCTCTTCACTCACCCACCTATGTGTCTCAAGAATCTGGTTTTGCAAATGTAGCTGTAGAAAAAAAGATGAATGAGCTGAAACTAATTGCTATTCAAGAGTATGAACCAAAACTAAGGAATCATAGAGTTTTCTAATTACAGCGTACCTGAAGGGTAATCTCCCAATATCCTCATATTTCAGAAGAAAAAAATGTCCAGAGCAGACAGGTAGGTAGTAGCAGAGGCAAGAACAACACCCAGGTATTCTGAGGCTCAGTCTGGTGGGCTCTTGTTACAAACTGTCTAATTTGTGTTTCTAGAATATCAGAGGTAGCTAAAGTAAGTTCTAAAAGTCCATAAGCCTTATATCATTCTGAAACTTCAGGTATCTTACTTTTTTCTGGCTCTTATCCTCTTCTCCAGATAAGACCAGCTCCTTATATCTGTGAAATCTGTAGAGGGACTCAGTCAGTAATCAGGTGGCCAGAAGAAAAGCTCATTTTTGTGGTATTGGGAACAATATTCTCTCCGTAATTATTGAGATTCACATGAAAACTTGTGAAGGTATCTGAAACATCAAGGAGGCTATAATAGGTGTAGTCAAGATATTTTGTATTTGGTGAGTTATAACAAGGTACCATTTCAGGAGTATACAACACACATAGGCCTCAGGTTGAGGCCTATTTTAAAATGCGTGCTTTTATAAATATATCACTTAACAGTGATTGTAAGGCTAAGGACCTCCTTATGTATGGAAAATAAGCCTTCTGCCTTTAATTGTGACAGATATACAATACATTGTGTTCAGTCTTCTCTTATGTGGCAAATTTCAATGACTGGCTTTTTTTTTTTTTTTTCATTTCAGAAAGCTGTTGACATGCTTTTGGACAATGAAGATAAAATTTCAGTGAGTATCTTTTATTTTCATATATGTTACCAGATGAGTGTCTGGGATCATTATAGCCAAAAAGAAGACAGATGTGTATCAGATAAGTTTGCCCCTATATTTGTGTCCTCATAACTCTGTGTTTAAATTTTTCTTTTTTTCTCTAGATTAAAAAGGTAGTGGAGGAATTAGAAGACAGACCAGAATTACAGCATGTGGTGAGCATAACAGTTGTCTTCTTTTGCCCCTTTGATTGCATAGTGGGGCACATCACCTTTCAGTACTGGTGTGAGAATACTGCAGTGAACTCTTTGGGTTAATAGATTGGAGGTTTAACCACAGACAGTATTCTGTATTTATCAAAATTTGGCATATGTCCTGAATCCAGGTTAGGGATTAATTACAGATCAGACACTTTAATTTGACTCACAGTTGATTTGTGATTTTAGAAAAAGTTATCATATTTATTTTGTGTTATCGAGCTTGCTTAGGAGTAAGGGACTTCCTACTATTGTTACTATTTAACATAATTATCACATAAATTATACCACAGAATGATCAAGGAACCGTCTTGTTTTTCCCACTCACCTGATAGTAGCTAGTCCCACTTCTCTGGTGTGGCCTTGGTGGTGGTGCTGTTAAGGCCCTCTGTTCTAGATTTTCTTTGGGGGAATACCTTGATTCTCTGCATTGCTGTCATTATGGGAGTAAAGCAGGAGTAGGTGTTTTCTATGTTCTTTAAAAAGTGTACAAAGAAAAGGCTTTAATGAAAATAGGGATTATTCCTGTAGAACTATGGGTACCATATACCACGAGTGCTCTTGTATCTTTGCCTACCTTTTTGCACCCCAGGACAAGACTCTGGGAATAGAGTATTTTATTCAAAAGTTAGTTTTGTGCAGCTGCTATTGCTATATCGTTTATGATTTTAAATTTCAAGATTATCTGCTGACCCGAGCAAGGTGGCACTATACTGGCCACCTTGGGATTTGTTTATAAAAGTGATTTCTAGCCTCTTTGTGCCATGAGACAGCATTGCAGGCGGTGGGTATCTGTGTGACAGTCTAATTAGTGCAGTGGTGAAATTGTGGCAGATCACACCCTAAGAGGGCTCATCTTCCTGTCAGGTAACGTAATGTCTAAATTCACCTCAGCTGATGTGACAGAGCCTTCCTATTCTCTGGGAAATACCACTATGTGTCCAGCTCACACACTGACCCCCAGCCGGGGCCACTGGACTGGCAGGCAGACCACGTGGAGTTCTGTCTGACTGCTGTCCCCCCGTTCTTGCCTTTGGGAGATGCATCTGTCCTGGTTAGGCTTCTTTAGTGACCACACAAACAGGGAATATCACACTTCACCTAACTCATTGACAGCCACAGCCTCAGGGGCAGGTGGATGCTCTGTGCTTCTTTTGGACCAATTTATTCAAGGTGTGAATGTACTTTATGTGAATGATGTGATGAAGTCTTTTAGCCTCTGGTGGGTTATGGGATGTTTGTTTACATTTAACATTAAACATTGAACATTGATTTTCCAATTTCTTTGTAATGTATTGGTAGACTTAATCTTGCCTCTGAGTAGAAAATGAATTGCTTCCTGTTGAAGTCCATTAACTGTTCCAGACAGCTGGGGAAAGTAATGAGTTTTGAAAATTGGTTTAGAATACCTGTACTCTCCTTGCTTTTTAGTTGTTACTTTTGTCTTTGATGTTACCAGTGCAGGCAGCATTTCATTTCGAACACAGATTCTCAATACTCTTAATAGAGAGGAGATGCAGAATGTATGAGGATTAATTTAGTGCTTGCTGCTCCAATTTTTAAGAACATATTCTTATCCCATGATTCTACCCCCTTTTATATAAAGGCAAGAATTTTTATGTCCTAGGGAGACCATTAATCAAGCTTTTTGTTTTTGCAGTAAAGCAGATAACGGTGGCAATATTAACAGCTATGATTGATCCTTGAACAATGCCCGGCTTAACTCACAGAGGTGAAAATCTGTGTATAACTTTTGACTCCCCAAAAACTTTACAGTTGCCCCTCTGTATCCTGGGGGGACTGGTTCCAAGACCACCTGTGGATACCAAAATGTGCAGATGCTCAAGTCCCTTATATAAAATGGCGTAGAACAATGCGTACACTCGGCCCTCCTCATCTGTGGTTCCCTAGCTGCAGATAAAAAATACTGTGTTTGATCTGCAGTTGGTTGAATCCACAAATGTGGAACCCCAGGATACAGAGGTATATTTATTGGAAAAAAACCAGCATGTAAGTAGACACACACAGTTCAGATCCATGTTGTTCAAGGGTCAACTATACTGTCAGCGTTTCTGTAGTGTTTAGTGTATGCCAGGCGTGGTTCTGGGTGATTTACAAATGGTAGCTCATTCAAGCCTCACAAGAACCCAGAGATTTTTCTGAGATTTTTCCAGATAAAGAAACTGGTTACAGAGAGGTTAGTGACCTCCCCACCTAGTTAGTAAGTGGTAGAACCAAGCCACTCTGGGCTGTTCTAGAGAGTTTCAGAATCTCCTTGCTCTGGCAAAGGTATTTCTCTTTCACATTCAGATTTTTTCCTGGAAACTGCTTTTCCCCCAGCCTCACCATGGAAGCTGTTGAGAATTGAAAATAGGTATGTTAAACAGGTATTGCTTTTCTTATTTTAATATTCATGGTTTATCCCTTTGTTCTTTTTAGTATCTGCATAAGCTTTTCAAAAGAGACCATCATAAGGGGCAGCGCTACCATGAAAAACAGATCAGCCTTTATGCTGAATATGATCGACCGAACTTGCTTCCATTTCTCCGAGATAGTACCCATTGCCCACTTGAAAAGGTAAGTCACAGCCTCTGTCACTCACATTCAGGTGAAGAAGTTGTCATTGTGAGTAAGCTGTTGGTTATTCTAGTCTTCTTGTCTCTGCTCATCTATCCTTCTTCAAGGGGAAGACTGTTTCTCTAAGCAGTAGGTTTTGCTGGGACATTCTGAGAGATGGAGGTCCTGTTGGATTAGATTTTGGTAAGGAGCTCAAGTATTTCTGCCAGGTTTAATTGGAATAAAGGTTTAATCCAGGGTCTAGTCAACCATATAGCATAAACTGTGTCAGGAGTCTGAGTCAGTTTACCAGGATCAGCATGGGGCCTCAGAGTCAGCCTGGGAGGGAGACTGAAGCCAGAAGCAATTGCTCCACTCAGGACTCAAGGTTGGTAACTTAGGCCCTACACCCTGTCTACTGTAAATATCCACCTTATGTGTTTCTGTATTTCTTTCTCACTCTACATTTCATTTCTCTAGCACACTGCGTCCTGTTATAATTAGAGTAAATATATACACTAGCCTCTCTTTTCCACTATCTTGTAAATTCTTCAAGAACAAGGAGATTTTCCTCATTCATTTTGGTGAACACAGTAACCAGCACACATTAGACACTTACTTAATAGTTTGTTGCACCATGAGTGAGTGCGTGAATGAATACAAAGTTCTAGTTAGGGCTGAATATGAACTAGAAAGTTTTATGTACCTGTAGTAAACTAAATACTTCCTGTGCAGTTACTAGATACTGGGCAATCTAAGGCCATCAGTATTGTTTCCCATGATTCTTTATAACATCTGGAGTGCTATCTAACATCTACAAGTGTCTTACTAAATTCATGTAGCCAGGTAACAAGTACTTTTAAATCAGCTGTATGTATCAGCAAAACAAAAAAGTATTTGACCCAGCTTATGTACACTCACAACCTAGTTTCTTCTTCAGCCCATGATGATTAATGTGTTGGATTATTAAATGTGTTGGTTTTACTATAAACCAGTTTCAGCTCAGCAGATTTTCAAAATCTCTAGTTAATGAAAAAATATCTTGCCTGCTTATTAACTTAATTTATGGAAACCTTTAACATTTTATATTTTGGCCCTAAGACATTTTCTCAAAAATTCATTTGGAAATACATCACCGTACTCTAAAAGTAAAAGCAAATGTTCCCTCTCTTTTCTAATCACGCAATCTATAATCTAGAAAAAGAGTGAGAATCTTACTCTTTGAACAGTGCTCCTTCATTTGTATCACCTTTTTTGAGGAAACATTATTTCCAGGAGGATGCAGCTGTTTCTGGTTGACTACTCAGAGCCCCGAATACATGGGTGATCAGTAGCCAGCCCAGGCTCCTTCTTGTCATTCACTGAACATAGGTGCAGAGGCACCACCCAGATTCCAATATGTTTGTTTCTCACACACTTTTAACTCATCTCTTTTACATTTTTCCAGTCTAGTAATGTTCAACAGAAGGTGTACTGCTCTAACTAAAGGGGAGCATCAGAAAATTTTTGGACCTGCACCTGGTACTTCTAGTACACAGAGAATTGTGTAGACCTTTTAGAATTTTTCTCTCTGATCCAGTGAAAAGAACCAATTGCATGGAAAATAACTTGACATAAATGTACTGAAACCAGTTATGTTTTAAATAGGTGTTTTTTTCAGTTATCTCATGTTTTCCACTGAAAGAGAATTTTGAATAAAATGGATTAGAGACGGTAATGATGGAAACATGGCATTATAAAATAATCAGTAACCCACATTTTTAGAACTCTCTACAGGGGCTTTCATGTTATAGGTCATTGAGACTTCTTCATGAGAGATTTTTTTTAATTAGGATCCATTGTGGAACATTTGTGTGTTTGCAAAAAACATGTAACTATCCTTGCTCAGGTACCCAAAGCCATCTTAAAAGAGATACTCTTTGACTTTATTAACTCATGAAGGATCTCATTCTTTTTTCCCTAGAAGAACCCTCTGTACATTTACTCATCTGAGAAACTAATTCCTTTCATATTTACTTGTAACATGAAAAAACTACCAATTCAAAAAAACAAAGTAGGTTTTCCCCCATTAAATGCATCCTGAGCATGCTAATAGTGAAGTGGAGGTCATGGAGTTTAGGTTCGCCTGTTTTGTCTAAAGAGAGACTCAGAAAATTTGGTCTCCTTTTCTACTGAATGTAAAGTTAAGAACTTAAAAATTTTAATGCCCCTCCCATCCAGGAAGTCTTTACTTCAGAATACTTGGATTGTTTAGTCCCATAGGTGCTTAGGCAGTATTTCTATGTTTTTATTTAATGAGAAATGTCTCAGGTTTCAAGCCATTTATTAGAGGGTATGGTGACCTACTATTGTTGATAATTCACTTCTGGCAGAATAACAGCTCTATCTTCCTCATTTCTGGTTGTTTGCCTTTGCTGGGACTGGGAAATTGTTGAGAGGAGGGGTGATTTCAAATGATGACTGGTTGAAATCTTCAAGAATCCAGGTCAAACTTATTTTGAATTGATTGAAATCCCAGAATTAATAGTACTGGGTGAAAAACTTTGTAGAGTCCCTGACATTACATCAAAAGCCCTTTATGGTTATCAAAGACCAGAGTTCAGAATTTAAAATCACCAGAACTCTTAAATGCCAAAATTAATCATGAACTTTTATGAAATTGTTTATTCTAAAGGTGATACAGATTTGGTAGGAATTTATAACATCTTCAGCAATTTAAAAAGGCAATAAAAATTGTTTGTTTCTATTGTGTTTTATAATATGGGCTGTGCTTTCATGTGCCTTATTTTTATATAATTTCTACAGAAGTGCAGGTAGGTGATTAAGGTCATTTTGTACATGACCAGCTGAGTCTTCAGGGGTTGAAAGAAACAGCCCAAAGGCTGGAGCAAAATAAGTCTAAGAACCACAACTTGGAACCTGGATGTTTTAACTTCAGGTCCCATATTTTTTACACTATGGTAAGGAATTATTTTTCAGGTTTAAAACGTTAATTAAAATAACAACAACAATAGTTCTTAGTATTTCGAGAATCATGGAAGATACCAATTTTTAAACTGTTAAACTCTCCTTTCTTCTGTAATTTCCAGGTGTGGTTAACAGGCACTTGTTTTCATTTGCAAATCTAATTTCCTTATGCATAGAATAGTTAAAAGCACAGTGTCAGCTTAATATCTTTAGCAGATTTATATCTGAATTTATGATCTCTCTCATATCTAATGGCATTTACAAGGTGGCAGTTTTTATGAATTTGGAGGAATAAAGCTGAGAAATGCAAAGTTAGTTGATTTCCATTAAATTTAAAGACAAAATTAGATAAAAGGTGACAGGCGCAAGGCTAGGTAGAAATCATTATTTAATTTACAATTGATAAGGTTCTCATTAGTTATCCCCAAATTTTAACTATGTTCCTTATCACTATACTACATCAGAAGAAGGAAAATTAAAATATTTTTGCATCATTTTTTACTCAAAATCTATCATTCTTTTCACCTTCATTTTTACTATTCTCCTTTTACCTGTATGTCCTATTAGCTTTAAAAATCTTAGTTTCCATACTCTTTCCTCTAGAGGGAGCACTATATGGCCCAGGAACATTCAAGAATCTAAAATAAGGAACCATGATTTTATACTTCACTTGTGTCAATAATAGAAAAATTATTTGAACCAGAAATGTTTTTTAATACTTTACTCAAAATTTCTAGAAATTATTCTAGTGTCTCTACTTCTCACATATGAGAAAGGATAATTTAAGATACTTTTCTGAACTAGTCATAAAACATTTTAAAAATCTCATATTCAGATTTCAGAAACTCACATTATCTTTGAGCTTGTTGTTACACATCCGCTTGCATTCCAGACCATTCTTGACTTCAAACTTGCCTTTAGATGTTTTTTTTGTACATGAATTATCATATATGATAGTATCCTAAAAGAGCTTTCAGCAGCATTTTCCTGTAGAATGTTCTGCAATTGAGTATTTGAAATATGGCTAGGAACTGAATTTTTAATGTAATTTAAATTTAAGTAGTCACGTAGCAAGTGGCTACTATCTTGGATAGCTCGGGAGAGCCTTCAGACTGCATGTGGTTTGAGACAAGCATTTTCTCAAGCATTTATATTTGCTCAAGAAAAGGGAGAAAGAGAGATGGTTCTCCTGGTACTTTAAAGTGTCAGTTAATTTCCAGGTACAAAATTAATTTATGGATACCTTCCAGTAATAAACTACTTTAAGCAATTGGATGTTCTACCTATCTAATTGTGTTACCACAATCTGTTTATCTGTGAATGACACAGTTTCACTAAACCATAAGCTGTCTATCTGTATCTCTATCCGCTAGCACAAATCTAGGCACTTAGCTGTTTTCTCAATAATTTTATGTTGAAATAGTCCCAGGTTCCTTTGACTTAAGAGTTTTTACTTTTTCCCTTACTAATTAAACTTCTCACATGTGTTTCCTGAATCTGCTCTACTATCATCCCAGAAGAGTTTAAAGTTGGTAAGAATGTTCCATTGTTTAGGATGATGATTCGTAGGCATGATGGTATAGAGGGAGGTAAGCCATCTTTTTAATCAAAATGAATGAGGATTGCCCTGGCCGGGTGGCTCAGTTGGTTGAAGTATACCAGAAAAGGTCTCGTGTTCAGTTCCAGATCAGGGCACATACCTAGGTTGTGGGTTCGATCCCTGTCAAGGCGCATATGGGAGGCAACTGATTGATGTTTCTCTCTCACATCAATGTTTCTCTCTGTCTAAAAATCAATAAAAACATGTCCTCAGGTGAGGATTAAGAAAAGATGAATAAGGATTTTCTAAATGATAGTTAAGATTAGATTCAGCAATGAGTGATAAAAATCCCAAAATAATAGTGGCTTAAACAGAGTAGCAGTTTAGTTCTCTGTCACATGGAAGTCCTGGTGGAGTGTTTCTGCTGATGGTGGCATGCCATAGGGTCCAATACCCAGGCTCTTTTCTCTTGTTCCCCCACCTTGTGTGACCTTGATCTCATGATGTGAGATGGTAGCATCCTTGTTTCCAGGATCAGATTGGATGAAAGGACTAAACATAAGAAAGCAAAGGGTTCACACGTGCTGCTTCTTAAAGAGATCTCCCTGAACCTTCCATGTTTCTGTTTCATCGCTGGGGGACAATAGTCACATAAGTCTCCTACCACTGTGGAGGCTTGGAGATTTTTTTTTAATTCTGGTCAGGTACCCACCTGAAATCTTACTACTATAGAAGAAATGAGTAAAAGTTATTGGGGACAACTAATTATCTCTGCCACGTAACTTTTAAAGGAATCTTGTGAGTAATCGAATTAATAGTGTTTCCTCCTCTTTGTTACCTTCAGGTCTTTTCTTTTCCTCTTTTAAGTGATTTGTATACTTTAAAATGCCATCCTAATTTCATTGCCATTCTAAAGTAAGGTGTTATTTTTTTTTTCTTTTTATGTTTTATTTGGGTTTTTCCCCCCTACGTTGATTTCTGTGGTCAGCATTTTTCCTCTCTTTTAGTTAACCTCCAACCAGAGGCATAGATTAAGTCAAAAATCAAAATGTCAAAACTAGCTCCTGCTGTCCTTTCCCAAGATGGACCATTGAGCCAAAAGAGCTAAAGAACTTGAGCTGTTCTTTTTATCTTCTTGGTTCTTGTTTTTAAAACAGCCTTGGCTGGTTGTTTTTAAATGACCGCTCTAACTGTGCAACCCAGTAATCTTCCTCCTGAAACCTTTTTTGTCTGCTCATTTATTGAAAAAATATTTATTGCACACCTATGAGTTAGTCATTGTGCAAAAACACAGGGCTTGAAGTGCACATGGTCCCAGCCAACAGAAATCAGACAAACAGGAATTTGTGAAGATGTGTGCAGGTGCAATGAGAGTAAGTGCCTGAGATCTGACCTGGTGTTGGTCCACGGAGGATTTGTCTGAGGGACTTGCTGGGGTGGAGAGTGGGGAGGGAGGGCAGCACTCCAGGCCAAGAGGCAACAGTAGAGAGTTAAGCAGGGTGTGAGATGTTACTGCACAGAAAGGCAGGGCTTCTGAGGCCACAGTGAAGATTCTCAACTTTAAGTTGGAGCAGAGTAACAAAATAGGAAGGTTCCATAGTAGGCATGTGAGTGAGGTTATTGATGGACTCTTACTCATACTGCACCCCATTCAGATGCCACCTCTGTGAAGCTTTTTATAAGAGGGCCACACCAGAACTCATGTCCTGTATCTATGCACATAGCCCTCTATTCATGCTCCCCCTGGTCATGAGATTCTGTGTTGTCACATTTCTGTCACCCTCTCTGGACCTTATGCTCCCTGGTGGACTCATGCTCCCTTTACTTCTACTGAGCCACCTCCATCTCCTCATCTTTCTTTTACATGTCGTCACCATCATCAGCATTTGTATTACTATCATCATTGCATCTCTATCCAGCTGACTCTAGTGCCCAGCAGAGTGGGCAGTAAATATGTGTCAGTTCATTTAGATGATTGAATTGTTTATGATCACATATTGTTGTTTTTTATTCTCAAGGAAATGCTATCATCTGTGTAGTCCCTCATTTCTTCACTTGATCTTCTCCTTCTTAATTGTCAGGTGTTTTTTCTCTCTCATTTTTGACAGATCCTTGAACAGTTATTTTAAACCCTGTTAGCTCACATTAGACACATTTCTCAGTTCTTATTTATTTGTGTAACAAATGCTCACTGAACTATGGTGCACTCAATACTGGGGATGTGCACAGTGAGCAACAGTCCTTGAATGCAGCTGTATCCTGGTGGAGGGAAACAGAGCTTAAACCAAGGACTGGGGAATGGCAGCTGGGGAATGGCAGTGCTGTGAAGAAACCTAAAGCAGCAGAAAGTGAGAAAGCTTGGTGGGAAAGGACCTCTCAGCATCTTGCTTTCTGCCTTTATTCATGGAGTGTTCTGAGTTGTCTCCAATACAGGGATGGGCAAAAGTATGTTTAGAGTTGTAATACAAATAAATAATATAATAATTAATAATAATATAAGAATAAACTCTTCTTTGTGTACTCACAACTGTAAACCTATTTTTGCCCATGCCTGTGTGTTGTCAGTTAAATTGTATAAGGACTAACACCTCTCTGAGAGATAAATGGGTACAGCCATCAGCAAAACCTAAGAATAGTTGTGTTTTTGTTTGTTTGCTTTGTTTGTTTTTTAAAGTGAGGCAATGGAAAAATTTTTTCAAACTTGTGTGTCTAAGTGACTCTAATAATATTTGTTCTTGTCTCATAAGCTGTAGTAACATTTTGCCTTGCTTTATTTGAAGGCTCTTGAGATCTGTCACCAGAGAAACTTTGTAGAAGAGACAGTTTATCTTCTAAGTAAGTAGTTTTCACTCATTTTGGTATCCATAAACTAAGAAACTAAGACAACATGATATAAACTGTCTTAAAAATTGACATAGGTTTTAGAGCAAAGTAACACAGAGGTTAAAACCTATTTTATATAAGAATTTAAAACATGGGAAAGGAGACTTCACAGCTTAATAGAGAAGGGAGAGTTATTTAATAAATGCTGTTGAGGTAACATTAGTATTGTGTAATAAAAAAAACTTATCAGCTTATATTACCACGTCTTGATAGAAAATAATGTTCATTTTCAAAGGTCACACCCTAAATAATGGAGGAAATGCAATTGAATATCATAGTTTTTGAAAGACAGGAAAAGTTTTTAATATGATTTAGCTGACAGTTGTCCCTGTTCCTCTGGTTCCTACTTCCACCTTTCATAGTCTTTGTACCATGTTTACCAAGACACAGAACTTAGTATCTTTTCATATTCCTTCAAAATGAACCATTGGCATAAAAGCAGTGTAGGTTCCTGAAGATTTCCTAAGGAAGCTCTATACAGATATTTGTAGCTAAAACATAGAGTTCATATTAGGTGTTTTTCAGTGTCACTTCTCTTCCCTATACCAGTAGGGTTTTTTCACTTCACGCCTTTCCCTCATATAGCACTCGGCCTCATTGGCTCCTTTGGCCTCTGCAGTGAAAAATAACTCAAATCTTCTCTTCCAGTTAATGAGTGCAGATTTATGGATGCTCAGCAGCAAACCTAGAACTATTTGTCAGTTATAGGGCCTACCTTCCTTAGGAGAAAGTGTTTTGGGACAATGTTTTGTTACTTATGTTATTTTTTAAAGACAAATTGTGGGAATAATATTTGTAGGAAAAGCAAAATGGGATAGAAGATAAAACAAATGGGACATAATTTTATTCACAGGCCAGCTGTTATGATTTAATATTGGCTGCCTGGAGTGAGGAAAACTCGATCCATTACTAGCTCTTGCTGCAGGCCAAGGGCCAGGGATAAGGGTGATAGCCCACAGCCAGGCAATTGCTGCCCTTGCTCTGAGTAAAGCTTTCTATATGTAGCATATTAAAATCTCATGCAAATTGTTAATAAAACCTTTAAAATGCCAATAAATCAATGAGCACAGTGTATAAAGATAATAAAATAGAAGCATAGCTGGCAAATACTTTTATTTCATGAGGGTTATTGAAAGACTTTCCCCCTGAACATGGAAGAGAAGGTAAATGAAGTAGCTGTCTGATCATTGAGTTTGCAGTTGGAACATGATGTATCAGAATAACATTATGCAAAGCTACCTATTTGAGGCAGAATGACTCCAAGGCCTTTATATATTTATTTATTTTAATTTTATTTATTTATTTTTATTGAATTTATTGGGGTGACATTGGTTAATAAAATTATATAGGTTTCAGGTGTACAGTTCTATAATACATCATCTTTATATTGTGTTTTGTGTTCACCACCCCAAGTCAAGTTTCCATCCATCACTTTTTATTCCCTCTTTCATCTTCCCCCACCCACTTTACCTCTGGTAATCACCATACTGTTGTCTGTGTCTGTGAAATTTCTTTGTTTGGTTGGTTTTTTTGCTTAATCACTTTTTTTTACCCAGCCCTTTACAAGTCTTAGTCATATGTGGGTATTGAAGCCATCCAAACAAAATACAGGCCTGAGAAGGAAGCCAGCATCTGACAGACCTGGGTTCAGATTCCAGATCTGCCATTTAGTAGAAAGTTACTAACATTTTTGTGTCTTATTCTATAAAATAGAAATGTTAGTATAATATACCTCATAGGATTACAGTGATGATGAAATGATGTCATTCATGTGAAGCACTTAAATGAGTGCTCAGCACACAGTAAACACCCAGTAAATAGGAGACATTTATTTTACCATGTTATGCTAATATCACATAAGAAAATATGCTTTTGTCTTAGTTTTCAAACTGTATAAACAAATTAAGAGATAAGCTATTTCTTTAACAATGTTTTATTAAAATGTCCTAAATGAAGTATTTCTCACATCTTTGCTAGGCCGAATGGGTAATAGCCGAAGTGCCCTGAAGATGATCATGGAGGAATTACATGATGTTGATAAAGCAATTGAATTTGCCAAGGAGCAAGATGATGGAGAGCTCTGGGAAGATCTGATTTTATATTCCATCGACAAGCCACGTAAGCAAAAAAGCCATCTACGATTATAACTTTTGTCTCTCAATATAGCCAGTTATGTCTAGAGTAAGAATTATCTCAACACATTGAGTTAAAAATATGATCAAGTATCTATAATAAAAATAGGCTAAGGACATTGTAACACTTTCCAATACTAGTCCTGTGCAGAGAAGCCTGAAGACCCATCACTTTGTGTTACCTGAATGTGATAAAGAACAAGTGGTTAACCTGATAATATTAACTCTATCCTCGTGAAGCATATTTTAACCTACTACATCAAGAATTTATTTATTGGCCCTTCGCTTGACCATTTGCATTGAGTCTCCCATTCTGGAAAGAAACAAAAGCAGCCACTTTTAACAGTACCCAAGGTCTCTTTTAAAGAAAAAAGAAATGATTGGGAAACTAACAGTAGTAGTTTAAAATCTCCTCCCTTCTCTTTATTTTTTGGTAGGAAGACTTACCTATTTCAGAATTTTCAAGTTCTAGAAATTGTTGTTATAATTGTCATTTAAATGTGAGCTTCAAGAGGATAATGTTAGCATGACAAAGTAGTAGTTTAAGGATCTTAAATGAAGCCAAGTGGGTATAATGTAACTCATCGCATCATGAACTTGGGTCAGGCCTGGGTCTTGCCAGCTCTGTGACCCTGGATGGATTAGTGAACCACATCATTTCCCATTTCTATAAAATGAAGACAAACACTTTATTTCCCATTTTTGTAAAATGGGGACAAATAACATTCCTACCTTGCAGAATATTGGTGACAAGCATATGGTAGCTGAGCCATAGTAAATTCTCAATAAATATTAGTTGCACCCCTTTAAAAATGCAAATTGTATTCTGAGGTAATCATTTGTTTTCTGTTTTACATTCTTCAAATTTAGCTTTTCCTCTATGTCATGAGGAAAAGGAAACGGAGATTATTTCTTGAGAGTTTAGAAATTGAAATTTGAAGGAAATATTTTTTTCTTTGAGTTACTTTTGGCGTAAAATTGCATTATGTACATTGTTTATGTGTTAATTGTTTTATGTGGTATTTTTGTAGCATTTATTACTGGCTTGTTAAACAATATTGGCACGCATGTTGACCCAATTCTACTGATTCACCGTATCAAGGAAGGAATGGAGATTCCCAATTTGAGAGATTCCTTGGTTAAAATTCTGCAAGACTACAATTTGCAAGTAAGTATCCTTTCTTGGACAAATAAGCATGCTGAGTGAGTTGACTAATCACTGGATAAACATTTCTAGGGTTTATTTTAAATATCAGTCAAATAATTCAATTTGATAGTTGTTAAGGACCCAGACATTTGGAAAACTGTTCAAATAGAGAAACTAGAAATATCACCCTTTATGGAAGCCATATGATTTTTAACCACCCCCCAGTTTTCTGCTATTGATGAGCAGGCCTTCTTACATTTGTGTGGTAAATATAGCATGACACAGGGAAGGGGTGGTTTCCATGGCTGTTAGATCAGACCACCCAAACCATTTTTGAGTGGAATGAATATTATGAAACATATTATGTACACTTGGGAGAATAAAAAAATATTTTTCAAATAGTTTGATAATTTCCTTGAGGCCACTCAGTAACCTATTGCCTGAAACATGTTAAAATACAGGATTTTATTAACTTTTTTTCTAGACTAGTACAATTTTATTATCTGTAATAATTTAGAATTTGTGATAAGAGCAATGGAACCCACCATTTTCATATAAATAATATGCTAATTGCATAGCATCCTAATTTTTTCTTTAAAAGGACTCTAACAATTAGTATTTTTTAGGATGCCAGTAGCTTCCACACAACTTAAAACAATTGAAAGCACATTTCTTTAACAATTCAGACTATTCTTTGCCTACTTTATTTTAAACTGAGATTTTGTTATAATATGGATGAAATTGCTTTCCTGGGAACATAAAGATTTTTTTCAGGTAGAACTGAAACGTAAGGTTAGGGGAAGAGAAGTGGTTACCATGATTAGTAAGGAGAGGGGAGGATCATGATGAGGATTTGTGGGGTCTGTAGTCACTATGAAGGGTGCGAGTGGGGCTGCCTGCTGAACTCAGGTGGTGGCCTCAGATAACAGGCAAGGGGCAAAAAAGAAATTGAGGAAGATTGATGGCAGCAAGAAGATATGTGAGAGATGTAAAGGAGTGACAAGAGCTGGAGGGACAAGAACTTGTGGCCAGGGAATAGGATATTGTTACATTAAAGTTTCCGAAGGAGTTATTGTGAACATGTTCAAAAAGTGGTGTGAAAGTAAAGGTCATTGGATTGGAATTAATGGAGAAGCTGTGAGGGCACAGTGAGTCATCCAAATGGGCACTGAGGAAGGGGGAGCCCAGGCTGTAAGTCAGGCTCCATCCTCCTTGGTGAACTGGGGGGTTAGCCTTGCAGCCCACAGGTGACTCGTATTATTACTGTGTAATACAACTTTGAAGGAGAAAAGGTTTCCTGAAGGTGGGATGTGAGAGAACAAAGAGCCTTCACTCATGGGGGCTTCTGGGAAATCAGGATTCTGGGAGAGAAATAGGTTAAGGCAAAGAGGTAGAGGGCCTGTTCTGCAAAAAGCTCCAAGATATACAGGTATTTACTTATTTGGAGGTTTCCTGATGACCTAGGGAAAAGTGGTCAGAGGGGGAATAAGAAGGTCAGGGAAGGAAAGAATAACATGGGAGTAGGTTAATAGGTGAGGAGAGGTAACATGAGGAGCTTGCATTCTGCAGTGCCCAAGGGATGTTATCAAAAGTTTCAAATCTAATTTTGTTAAGCAGTCATTTAGGTGTCTGAACAGCTCTCCCCCCAAGGAATGTGATGAAGTAATTACCCCTTCTGTAATCCAGCTACAGTGCATGAAGCCTAGCCTGTAGGTTGAAAAATGTGCCTTGCTTTTTTCCCAGTCTCTACAATGCCTACAAAAGTGCCTAATAGAACCTTTTACTAGGCTCTTAATCTAGGGAACCAAGGTCATGGACACCACTGCACCTCACTGCTCATTCATTTTTTTATGAATAAATTTGCATAGTTCTGAACTAGCTGGGTATAAAAATAAAATTATTAAATGCAAAATGAATTCCATATAAAAAAGTATCCACTAAAACAGCTGTTAACCCAACATTTTATCCTCTTAATTATATTTTTTAATGTACGGAGAGCTTTTCCTTAAGAGTCTCTGGAGCAAAGAGGAAGGGATCCTCAGGGAAGGTGGCAGAGCCTGTGGGAATCCACTGGAGCTCAGATGTGTTGGAGGAGGCATAGAGAAAATGCTTTACTCAGGCAGGTTCAAAGAATTCTAGGGCATATGTCTTACTTATATATGAAGAGTGAGTTTAGAACTTTTTTCTGTGGAAAAGGCTTACTGGTTTATATTAACAACTATTTTTTTTAGGCAACCTATTTAGAGATCATCATAAATATAACATCTATTTAAAAAGCATTTTGAAGTTTCCATAAAGATTTCCCATACATGTTTTAATTTGATTGTCGAGTCTTTTGTTTGTTTCCTGAAACTTTAGTTGATTTTCACATGTTCTAACAGGATAAAAAATTGCCAACCCTGTTAATCCCAAAAATTGGGGGGAAAACCTTGTAGGTCCATGAATTTTCAAGAATGTAGAACATGCTTCGTATGGGAGGGAGAGGCAAGGTTGTAATGAGGAATGACCCTGGAAGACATTAAGACCTATTCAGTAAACAGTGGAATCCATGGAGAAAGGCTCACAGGGCTTGTCAGCACCACATTTTCTAATATGCCTGGGAATCTCTAAAGGGGACAGATTTATAATAATATATGCAGCACTTTAAAACTTATGTGGCCACTGAAAATGCTTTGAGAGATCACTCATTAGCTAATTGCTAGTTGGAAAAAGAGAAGGTAGAGAAAGTTGTGGGAAAAATTTTAAATGAACATTTCTGGTTTTAAAGTTTCATGTTTTCCAAAATGAAACACCTTTCTTCAATTGAAGTTTGGCATTAGGCACGTTAGATGTCTATGACATCATTAAAGTTAAGGAAATATAATCAACCACATTATTAATGTTTAAGTTTTTAAAATTTATTTTAACTTAAAATGTTTCTAGGCCCGATTTAAAGGAAAAATAGCATTTATTTTTATATACATTACTTACAAAACAATATGGTATAAATTATATTTCTAAATTATGGCCACAATTTCCAAATTATTTTTATGCTATAAATTTTTATATTTTTAAAACATTTTATTCATAAATTTAATATTTATTTTATCTATTTAGCATTTATATCCATTTCTGTTGCTTTCCCCTTAAGAACTTTAGCATCTTGGTTCTGAAACACTTCTCTTTTGATAGACTTATTAGCCAGTCATTTCATCCTCACAATGGTCCTTGAGGAACTTTCATCTTCCTTTTACAGATGACAAGACTGAGTTTAACAAGGTTAAAAATGCCTTGCCAGTCTGGGAAACTGATGAACTGGGTTTGAACCTCTGACTAAATCTCACAGACCTGGAGATAAGTAGGATGCAACGATTTTTTCGAGTGGCTCATGATTTGAATTTATATTTCTGGGAGAAGTAAAAAGCTTTAAGACTTGGATTTTGTTAAACTTCACACACACACATACACACAGGTAAACTGACTCCAGACGTCTCCATGCCTGTCAAAGTTATTATCCCCTTATTTCTTTATCATTTCCCATATTTCTCTACTTTGAAAGCAGAGACAAATGAATTAAGAGGAAATAACAAATTCTTTCTTACCTGCCCTCTTTTGGGGCCACATGGGTTTCTTTTGACTCACAGTATATAAACTCTTAATTTCTAAGAGAGAGTTTTTAAGTTTATAAACCCCTGAAATAAACCTTTAAGATAAAATGAATATTCTTTCCTTTCAATTTATTTCAGGTTGGCCTCATCACAGCTTTTATGTGACATAAAATGGCCTTTGACAACCAACTATAGCTTCTTTGATCAATATGACACATGCAAACTTTGTGCTATTATAAATTGAAATATGGTTGTATTTATAATATTGTTTTTATTTCTAACATGAGACCTTAGAGTCTTTCTATCTTTTCCTTCTTATTTCTCTGCAGTTCCTCATCTTTGATAATAATCCCCATCTTTGATAAAAAGCAAAGCTTTTTCAAGTAGAATTCAAATCCCACAATACTGTGACCTAAATAATGGATTAGAAATTAGGTAAAATGGTTTCTCAGTCTAGCTCTGGTATCACATTGGATGCTTGTAAAACAAGGTAACTGTCACTTGCAATTCTAATGATAAGCACTTCAGTTTGAACAAGGCAATGTCAGCAAAAAGTTTAATATTCAAAGAATCGTTTAAAATAAAATTTCAGAAACTTGACAGTTTTTTATGGCAGCTGTTTCTGATGAACTGTAGTATCTTCACTGATATACAGTTCTTTTATTGCTTTATAAAATATCCATTGAGTCTGTTGTTTTGCTTTTGATTGGAATTATTATTTATAATGATGAACTACAGAGAAATAAGAAGGAAAATAGGGAGAATCTAGAGTCTCATGTTTGCAGCAGCTATCTTATAAATATATTCTTATTTAAATTTATAATAGGACAGGGTATGCTTGTAACAAATTGATTGTAGAAACTACAAACTGTCTTGAAAATGATGAGGACAAAGGATAAAGGTAATGTTAATAAAACATAGAATTTAGGAAAACTTAGAATTATGGAGGGAAATGTAATATTAAGAAAACAAGTGATAGAGAGGGATGTAGAAAGAAGTTGACCCATTGATTTGAATAACCTTGAAAAAATAATGGAAATCCCATAAGGAAAATGAATGTTTGAAAGGTAATATTGTACTTGGTAATCAGTGCCTACAAATGTTTTTTGAGATGGGAACTGATGCCATTATGAAGTTGAGGAAAGAAAAGATCAGACAGTGGTTTACTTGGCTTGGTGAAATTCTTAATAAGAAATAGAGATTACAAAGCAAAGATTAATAGTGATGTTGTCTTATTTACCAGGTGGAAACATTTTCTAGATGACACAATAAAGGAGTTTCAAACTGATTTTAATTTCTGAAAGTAATATCAGAGGCTATCCTACACAGAGAATAAAATAGGAAACCAAGATAAAACAGGAGGAAACAGGCAAGAAAGATTTTTCTGAGCAAAAATGACGATCTTTGAAAGGCCAGTAGGCATCCTTTGGAAAA